GGGGGGGGGGGGGACGAACGAGAGGAATGGCGAGACCGTCATTACGCACGCCGCGAGTAACGAGCAATTATCTCGAAACGATCACGCTTTAATGTTCGGATAAGTAAATCGCGGGGTCGCGATTAGTGATAAGGTCGTCAAAAGCGACGTATGCGTAGGTTACATCGTGCGTGCCAGACAGAAAATAAAATAAAATAAATATCCAATTTTACGAGCCAGTGCTTTGTCGACTTAAACGCGATTTGGAACTTGTTAGAAGTCATAAATGTCTTTGTATGAACGGCCATATATCTTAATTGAATATAAGAAAGAAAATCTCAGTTGCAACTGAATAGGGAACCACATGAAAATCACGTCTGGCGACGTGAAACGATATTTTTATTACCACAACTAAAGACACTAAGCTGTATTAACCTTTCGAGCGCAATGTGATGCAATTTTACATCACTGATTTCTTAAAAAAATAATTGTTTCGAAGTACAATCGAATATAAATCAATTTTTCACTCTTTTATTCATTTATTAATTTTTTTGTTACTTTTATATTATCATTATTAAATTTATGATCTTCTTTTTTATATAGGAAAAAAAATTTTTTAATGAAATTGATCGATTTATACGCACACACACTCACACGCACAGAATCGAGTTATAAATAAACAAAAATCGTTGGTGCAAATTCACACGTGTGTTATTTTGACTTCACTAGAGCTATGTACTCGAAGGGTTAAAACTTGTTTGCAATAACTGAGATCAATTGACTAATAAGAAACCTTTTAAGATCCATCTATAATGGGATTCGTAATAGGCAGTAAGACGTAAGCAATAAGCAAATTGACCAACCACAGTCGATTGTTACAAGAATAATCAATTTGCTTACTGCTTTATCTACTATAAATGGACTTTTGCAGAAATCTTTCTATTTCTGCACCCGAGTTTTTCACCTGGTCTCTACTTTTATCAAGCAGAGGAAAATTCAGTTACACTAATTTTCTTGTGTGCAAATACGAAGGAAAGAATCAATTTCCGTTTAAAACCAATTGTTTTACATCGAATGACAAATCGTCCAAAATATATTACGTTTCAATAGATTACATCCACGCCAGAGACGCCGCGGTATGCGTGATCACCATTGGGAGCCAGTCTCATGAAGATCAGCAGCCGGCCGATTATCTGGATCACAATCTGAAAATTTTCAAGGACATTATCCCAAACGTCTGCAAGTACGCGCCGAACAGCGTTCTTTTGATTCTTTCGAAGCCAGGTACGTCTTATTATCGCATTTTCAATATGTGTTTTACAAGAAATTACGTATGACAACCCGATTTTCCATACAGATCGGCATTGCACACGGAAAAATAATCTCAGTTCGAGTAACTGAATAGGGACCAGATGAAAAACTCGCTGAAGAGAAATAATATTTCTGCTTCTGTGACTGAAAATATTCATTTACACATTCAGCTGTATTAAAACTCGGTTAAGATGATTAAAAGCAATCGGCTGAGTAGAAGCCTCTCAAGAGAATCTTTCTATTTCTATAACCGAATTTTTATCTGGTCTCCAAGTAACAGAATTACACTAACGGAATTGTTTTTTCTGTGCATACATTTCCGTGCATCCATTTTCCGCAAAATAGAAATAATCTAGGACGAACACTCTCTATCTTATATATACGTTAAAAAAATATTTACTTGAGAAAAGCATGTCGGTAAACAGCACATTTATGCTCGCGGAATTATCGTTTCGATTGTTTAGTCGACATCATGTCGTACGTCGCCATGAAGTTGTCGGGATTTCCGCCGAACCGCGTTATCGGGATAGGAACGTTCTTGGACAGTTGCAGATTCCAGTATTTTATCGCTCAGAAACTCGGGATTTCGGCGAGCGCGGTCCAAGCGTTGATCATCGGGGAGAGCGGGCCGGCTTCTGGTAATGAACGTCAATGAAAATATCGCAGGGTGTAATGAACACCTCGCAGTTTTATTTCTTAGTTGGTCTTCTCGTTAATGTTTCCGCTCTCCCTTGTATTCGAATACGCACCAGTGCCGGTTTGGTCCTCCGCCGCGTGCATGGGCATGCCTTTGAAGGAAATAAATAAGGAGATCGGTATGAAAACGGATCCGGAATCCTGGGGAGACTTACACACGAAAGTCGTCCACACCGACAACGAGTTGATCGCCAGAAAGGGGTATCACAGTTGGGGAATGGGCATCTGTGCGAGTGAGATAGTCGACGCTATTGTGCGCAATACTCGCGCCTGTTTTACTGTCTCGACGTTCTTGAAGGTTTAACAATGAAATTTCTTGAAAATTAATATTTAACTATTTAACATTTAACTACTAAAAATTAATTATTGAGCTTTTTTTCGCATTACACCAATTTAACTATTTAACTATTAATACTTAATTATTGAAAATTAATCATTAAGCTTTTTCTGGCATCACACCAATCTATTTAGCTCGTATTTTAATCGTAGTAATAGCCTTTTGCTTAACCCTTTCGTTCCTAACGCCAACTTTAGTCTGCATCCATGTAACGACTCTAGCCGACTTTAGTCGGCTCCTCGATACTTTACACTATCATCATTTTTGGACACTATATTTCATAACAATTAAAAACAAAACAATTAAAACAAAATTGTTTTTATATATGTTTACGTTTGGTAGTGTATTGTAATAAGTATTATAGTAATAAGTATTATAGTAAAATAAAGTAATAAGTATTATAGTTGTAATAAGTATTATAGTAAAATAAAGAAGTGTCAATCTTTTATTATAAAATATTTATAATAAAAGATCTTTTTCAAACTATTGAGAAAATTCGGAAGAAATCGTTATGCGTTATTTCATGCTTTAAAACCTATCACACGCAATTATATTACTAGAAATATTATCAGGACTATCATTATTATTATTAAGTTGTTTTCATTAATGTCAACAAACGTATAATTTAAAATAATGAAATATAGTTAGAAGAACAATTGTCTTTATTCGGCTTTTAACTAATATATTTTGACAATTGTTTAAGACTACACATATTTTACTCTACAAAAGAGGCACTCGTGTGGACTTCTCTGTACAGAGAAAGTACATTCGCGCACGGAACGAAAGAGTTAATCATAAAGAAAAATGAGTTTGAAAAAGGCGATAAAGTTAAAGAGATTTCTCAGTATTATTTGGAGATTGCTAAGCCTTTTTTATGTTATTAATATGCAAACACGAATTAATGTCGTTCGTGAACTCGAATTTCCTAGACAGTAAACGTTTATGAAAAATGTGAAACATATTTCAGGGTTGCCGACACGGACTGGAGAAAGACATCTTTTTGTCATTGCCGTGCGTAGTAGGCAGAAACGGCGTGCAAACGACTATTCGTCTGTCGTACACACCTAAGGAGCAAGAACTGATGACGATATCTTGCCAAAGAATTTACGAGACGCAGAAATCGATTCTCGACAAGATTGAATGAATGAGAGACGCGATAGTGATGCTCGTCGTGATGATTTACCGGTATCCGGCTGTAATTCAAGGAATCAAATATTCTCAACCATTGATGAACGAGTCGTGTTGGTCTTGTGTCTGTGTAAACTGGTAAAATAAAACGATAACGAGCAATCCACGTCTCGCTCGTTCGCTTCGGGTGTTTATGAACCTCGCGAAATTTTTTGTAAGTAACGTAACGCGCGAGAAAACACGCGAATTGTGTAATCGCGTACACGGGAGGAAGCCACGGATTATATCTCAAACCGCTTTATGCGCCATCAGTTAAGAAATTTCCTAGAAAGTCAAGGCGGGCGTAATACTCACTCCCGTGACAAAAGACCTTACCATCTTCTGTCCGGCTCGTCCGGTCGAGGTCGAGAGAGGGGTGGCTGAAAAAGGAGGAAACCGCGTTTGTTTTATAGGACGGTTTGGTTTTGTTACCGAGACCTGATGAATAGGGAGTGCTATAAATTGCGTACTCCGAGGATTTCGGCTCCAATTTGTAAAGATTAATGCAGACTACTCGTAATTAATTGCTCCGCGTATGGAGCAGTTAACCGTGCCGCGAAAAACGATCAGGATGATAAAACGGTCGCTATTATAAATATAAAGAGAGGCCTTACCGGTCAGCGATACGCCAATTTGTTACAAAATTCACGTATGCTGATATCGCGCTTTTTGTCTCTGCCATCCACTGCATTAGTTAAGACGTTCGCTCGCCGTCCAGCGCCACTATAACTGCCGGCATAACGAAGTATTCCCGAGTTACACGCGAAATCGGACGCGTTATTCAACGGCAAAATGTTCACTTGTTAGCTGCGAATATTCTTGATTAGTTCTTCATTACACAAACGTTACATAAACACTTCCCGTAAATAGATTCTTCCTGTCTGCTTTCTCCTATTTGCAATGTAACGATTTCAAAGCGTAGCTTCAGCGAAAAGGAGACTTTTTTATCAAAATAATTGAAATTAAATTGATTAAAAGTGCAATAAATAAAAAGTGCCGCATCTTTCTTGACGAACTGGTTTTTCGTTGAGTGATTTAACGAGTAGGAGATAACTAAAATATAATCATGCTCGAAAAAGAGTTATGCTTTTAATTCTGCGCTAGAAACTAAACATTTTTTTTATTACGGGTAATAAATGAATGAAATTAATTTCCAGAAAATTTTCGGAAAACGAGCGTGCTGGTAAAGTAAATTCATGTTATGAGAAAAAAAAACATTGTATTATGCGATATTTTATAAAATTTTCTATCTACGACTTTTGTATCGTCACTTCCTGACTTGTAATCAATTAATATAATCCATTATCATTCACGATAATCTTCAAGGATAGCCTCTCTCCCTTTGATCAGACTTTCTTCATGTCTCAAAACACACCTTAACAGGTAAGGTGTTTCAAGCGGCAGTTTGCGTAATCATCAGGAGATGGTTATAAATAGCGGGTACGTCGGCAAGGAACACGGCAGAATGTAACAAGTTTCAATGAGCCGTTGAGGCCGTAACGTCTGTGATCGCTTTGTGATTTCCGATTGAGAAAATAACGCGTCGGACTTCTGCGTAACTTAACGTTCGATCGAGAGCAATACAAATATTAATAATGAAATATTGTGCGAAAATATTAATCGCGATGGCGTTGCTAAGGATCGTTTTGTCATCAACGATTTCTTAGTATAGATATTACCCATCTCAGTATAAATATTGCTCAGTATAAATATCCGTAAAACTTACGGATATACTGGTGTAGGACAGTTTTTTGAGTAAGAACTAACGATCTATATATATATATATATATATATATATATATATATATATATATATAAATTACAAAACATACGCGTCCTCGCAGTGTTTATTAGTCATTTATCGATCTTAGCTAATTTTTCATATTTAAATAATTTTTGTTATGACTGCAAGACCACTTTGAGAAATTATTCGATAAAACATTAACAAACGAATATTTCTGATCAAATTCCGATCAAGTTTTATATTCGATTAAATTTTATCAGATACTTTTTATCAAAATGAAATTTTATCAGATACTTCTTATCAAAATTTTATCAGATAAACATTAGTTAAGAGATAAAAAGTTACGAACCGACGTTTTTTATCGGATGTTTCCTGATTGTATACAAAAATTCATTGACATTTTGATTGGAAATATCCGTTTGTTAATTCTTTATCGTATAATTTCTCTCAATGTACATTTATCTTAATTTGATTATATTCCAATAGAGCTTTTGATATATAATTTAGACAATATCGTCTTAAAATCTTATGTTCCTATTAAATTATCCGTTACCGCAGTGGACAAATATCAAATTTGGGCGATACAAGGGCGAGCGTATAGTCCGTATTCGCAACGGGAGACCGGTTCTATGCACCTGCGGCTCATTATTCTCGCTAATAAATGCACCGCGCGAGAGACGGTAGCCGCTGAATATTTTGGGCGACACGTGTAACAAAGCGCGAGATGAGGAATTCATTAGTGTCCTGCTTTCATGAGTGTTAGTGAAGCTCGGGAAAAGGTCGTTTTTCCATATTATTCCGCACCTCAATTGTATAATATGAACACTGCGCGTGTAGCGTGTTATAATAATGACGCGCTTCAAATGTGTAATTGAGCAACAATAGCGCGGGCTACAGGAGAGAGTTGCATTGTGATTGAAATGAATTTCGCAGAGAATGTCGGAGAATGTAACAGAGAGCGTATAGAATTACCTTTGGTCGAGTGAGACGTCTTATTCTGTCCCAATAGATAATCCCTTCTTAATTGTTCCTTAATTCTCTTCGCAAAACTCGATCGTATATCGATCGAAACTTCTCCTTTGGAAGACAATCGTGGTTCTCGTTTCGAGAATTGTCTATAACGCGTTCGTGTATTTTCCTTGAATTAAGGAATAAGAGCAATTCAACGCGAATTATAGGGGTCCTTGAGAGTGTCAAGCGTCTACATTTAACATTCTCTTCTTGTACCTTACGCCGCTTTAATTCGAATAACCTTCCGGCTTTAATATCGCTCCGTGAGTATCCATGTATTTTTATCCGTGTATCGTACAAAACGCGATACACCGCAGCTGCAACAGATCCGATGCATCTCTTGGGTTCCAACGTAATTATAGCTACAATTGGCTTACAAGTTAATTGCTATCCCACTCGAGTAGCGTGGCCTGAAAAAGGAAGCGTGAGTTATTGTACTCATATCTAAAGTTCGTATCCTCTTACCCGCATACACGACGGTAATTATGGCTGTCCGTTGCTGAATTTTATTCGTCTAATGTACGAAGATCGTTTTATTCGGATGTGAATGAGAAATAAGAATCCACTTTTCGTCGTGCATGCAGCATTTCCAGCAACGTTCAACTGAACGCATAACAAGAGCTTGGACTTTAAGGAATTTATTCATCAGGTACGCATTTTCAGGGTATCCAAGGGACGTATTTTTTCAGTGCCGCAATTTGCCTTTTCAAGACAGCTACTCATAAATTTAATATTTATCAAACAAAATTACGTTTTTATATATCTATTTCACTATCTAAATTATAAATGTATAATTTGAAGCTAATTTCATGATACTATTTTGTCACGTTTCATTCAGTGCAACGCTATTTAAAGCAATTTTCTGGTTTACAATCGAGTATATTAAAATAATATAGTGAATATTATTCTTTTTTTTATGTCGCGTTTCCTAATATGTATAGTCGCGGGCAATAAAGTTAACTAGTTTCAATTTCACGTGATTTTTTAGTAAAGTTTGGTTATTTCAATAGAATAGTAAAATTATGTTTCACATTTTTTACTAAAAACTTTATTCTTTAACCGTGTAAATCGTTTTTTAAGATGTTTAACGTATGATTGAATTTTTCTCGAAATTTAATTAATTTGATATTACATTATATTTAAAAAACTCTTCTTTATCTTGGTAGGATTCGAAACGCAGGACCTCCGAGTTGCCTGTATACGCCATTTCTCCATTAAAAGATCTGTTGTGTCTATCTATGTTGTAATCTAGCGTTGAATACCCAAATATTTCATTATAATAAACTGAAATTCTGTTTAGTTCAACCAAATCTTGGTTGGTTTAGTTCAACCAAAACATGTACGTGCTGTCAACCGTGCTTGCTTTTTCCCGCGCACGTTCAAACGGATGAACGATGCTCGAACGCATCCGCGTGATCTATTAGTCTTATTCTATTGAAAATTTACATTCATCCGAACGGTTTTCGAAGGAAAAGTGGGAGGGTCCAGGGGACATCGTTCAACGGACAAAACGCGGCGGTAGGTACCGCTAATTACCTATACTTTTTATTCCAGGCGAATATAATGCCTTCGACGAGCAGCCTCGATGCGCGGAGGTCGCCGACGGAAAAAAGGAAGGCGGGCAAAGAGAGAAGGCGAGGTAAAAAGGAGACACCGCCGTGCGAGGAAGATCGGCGCTGCGAGAGGAGGCAGCGGGGGTAGTTGAAGCGCATTACTTAGAGCTTTAAAGCCGTCTATGCGCCATCACGACGACACGTACGCGTGTGTTGGGAACCCGAACCGCGCGTACACGCTCGTAAAATCGCCATCGCGCAGGAGGCAGGTCGAGGTCCTGATTGAGTTACGATTTAATTAGTCCGTGAGACCAATCGCGCGCACATACACGCACACACGTACATGATAATTAAGATATCCGCTAATCAACGGGCACGGCCTCTCTTCGATCTCCCTTTCTTCTACGTGAGCCTGTCGTTGAAAAACTTTCGCTATGCATTCTCTCCTCTCCTTGAATCATTTCTAGTGTCTTTTCTATGTTATCCCTATTCTATTTCGTTTATCCCTTCCGCTATATATCGCGTCAGTTATGATAAATATTTTGAGAAATTCAGATTTAATTCTTGAATTTAAAATGTCCAAACATGTTTATAAATTCTATAACTTTTATAATTGAAAATAAAGCTGAGGAAGTGTATAATGTTTCTTCTTTCAATCAGATATCGATGACTGATTGTTTGTAAATCGATAGACAAGAATTTATTGGAGATTTCACTTATGCTTTAATTTATCTATTCAATGTATAATACGATTTACATTTTTATCAGGATAATACGTAGATATTATAACTCATTATGGCATCTGGCTGAAGGAGAAAAATATGAGGCAATGCCGGCATCTGTTGGAAAAAGCATAAACTCACGATCGAAGGCATGCCTGGTAAGCAAGAGTGTATCTTGTTTTTTTTATAGACTCGTTTCATGCGTAATCAAATGGGAAATGAAATCCTCTAATGGAATATTTCACGACTCGTACCCAGGACGTAAAATCATTTTTATGTCAAGATGATATCATTTTGACATCAATGTCATAAAATTATCATAAAAATAGTATTGTTTGACGTTAAAATGACATCAATTTATATAATTTGACGTCATTATGACTTTGTTCTATCTGGGTATGAGTGTTAATAATTTCTTTTCATATTATGGCGGCATCAACGCATGCATATGTTCGTACAACGGTAATTTCGATACGATTTTGAGGAGTGCACGCTTTCTCTCCGAACATACAAGATTAAATTCCGGTATCGGCCGGCTATGCCAGATAGCGTTGATTGTAATTAATAGCCGTCGATTGCGTTAGCCTTACAGTCGGTTAATTGTCGGGAGAGATTAATGGCGCAAAATCACGCCACTACCGGTGTAGATTGTCCGAAACCGATTCCCATATCGCTTTCAAGGTTTCATATGGTAGGACTTAAAGGGGAAGCGAGACAGCACACCTGCTTCTACTATAAAATATTTTCCAATGAAATGGAAAGACTGCTATGTGGATATATATATGTGTGTGTGTTCCAATGTAATTTTGATTCTTTAAATATTTTTCTACACGGAGAGGAAATTAGGTTGAATTAAACAAATTTCTGTGATGAAATATAAACGAACCAGAAAATGCTGGTTGAACTTATCAGAAATCAAGTTAATTAAAAATTTTGTTGAATAGAATTTTAATAATTTCAACTAGAATTTCGTTCATGTTTCACCAGAAATTTGATTAATCCAACCAAACATTTTATTCCTTATATTTCTAAATAGAATTCTATCCTGAGGTCCGTTCAGAATTATAGATCAACTAAAATGAACTAAACACATCATGTTTCAACAAAAACAGTTAAATTAAAATTTGTCATAATTTAAATAAAACAGAAAATTAATCCGCACAGGATAATATAATCGGCAAAAATAAATGATATTTCTCAATTAAAGAATATATATATATATATATATATATATATATATATATATATATATATATATATATATA